GTAACCCTGCAATTTACTATAAATCGAATAAGTATACAAATATCTATATATATATATATATATATATATATAATATCTATATATATATATAATATCGATATTATATGCATATATATTAGATTTAATAGAGATATATTTTTTCAGAACTTATTTTACCCGTATTGTTGATTGGGACTTTTTCTTTCTGAGTTTTCCAGAATTCGCAGTCATGCGTTTTTGTCCCAATGAGTCAATAGCTCCAAGTGTCCATTTTCTTCCTCCAAAAACCTAAAATCATTTAAAAAAAACTTTTTCAAGCAATTTTTTGTATGGATACTGATGAAAATGATTTTTGAATATTTCCCAATGGTATTTTGTATTAAAGCTGTGCTTTAGAACGCTTTTTAAAGAACAAAGCGATATTTTTTTTTTAATTCATAGGTGGTAATGTCCAACTTTGAACAGCGCATTCTACGCTGATAATAAAAATGGCACAAAGTTTTAATATCAGAAAAATTAACAGTTTTTTTTTCTTAAAGGAAGAGTTTTAGAATTAAATTATGTTAATTTAAATAGTGCATGTATTTTAATTATTACTTCATTTCTGTATTTTTAGATCTCATAAAAGTAGCGTATATTTCCGAATAAATGCCGAATATTTATAGATAATTTTCAAAAGCATAAGATCGGCTGAAATCTCGTTTATTTTTCGGTTAGTTGATCCTTTATCACTAAATATCACAAAAACGATACAATACAAAGGGTACATAAAATAACAGTTGTCAGAAAATAACATGCAGGAGAGGAAAATAATTTTTAATACTATGTTCTCTCTGAATACAGTAAACAAATTTAAAAAGATATACATGCCAGCTTCAGAATATAGATAGCGCTCGCTGCTCGATTCACATTAACTTTGAATTGCTGATTGACATCATTTCGGCTTGGTAAGTTGAAGGACTTGAGAAGAGAGGAGGGTAACAAAAGTGGATTTTTTATAGTTTGTCTATAGTAAGAGCTCCCCAAGCTATTTGTCTGGATCTATGGCGGTGACTATAGTAACGAGGTGTAACTATTTCACAGTAAGGGTGTGAGGTTATTGTTTAGGACAGGTTTTGGCTCGGAATTAGAATAGGAAGAGAGAATATTTTTCTTCGGTCTATTGCGTTAGCCCTAGAGTGAAGAGAAGCTACTTTCCCTGAAATGAGCTATTCTTGTTTCCATAGAAGCATCGGACTTTGTGGTGGGGAGAGTTCTTACCGTAGACAAAATACATTTCTTAAAAAAGATAAACAAATAAACTAAGATGGCTAAGTAAAATAGTAAAGAATTGAAAAGTCCAAACGTAAAATTGAATGTTACTTAAAAAGATGGCATTTCAGAGTATACGTATATTATTATTTTAAATCAGCTTATATTTGAGTTACGCATGTTGGATAAATTTTCAATGAAAATGAGCATTTAGAGTTTGTACACGGATTCGCTTATATTCACGGTTAACAAAATTAAGAATTATTTAATGATTTTAATAGTTTTAGACCAGGTAAAAAAAACCTGGCGTACTTGGTCGTTTTTTTTCCTAATAAGTTAAAGCAGCAAATAAAGCCTGTTACTAACCTGAATAGCTTCAGCAGGCATTGGTCCTCTAGAGACAGCGTAAAAGAGATGAAAATACTTTTCTTTCAACCATAATATCCTTCGATCACATAAGGCTTTCTGCTTTCTTAATTCTCTAACTACATAATTAAGACGTTCGTGGCATTGATGTATAATTAATGTTGGCGCGACAAAATTCATAAAATGATTTTCGGATAGGCTGTTTCCATACAATATTCGAAGGCAGCTTTTATCAATATTTTCTGGAATTCCATGTCGTTTAGAAACATCACCCATATCTCTATCAACTAAATAAATTTCTTTTACTTTAAATAAATCAAGAAATCCTTCTTCGATTGAATTATAAACAACATCCAGAACAGGTTCATATTCCGAATGTGCCAAATTATAATCCTGAATGCCACTGCATCTTAATGAACTCCAAAGAGGTTTGGACCATGTCAATGTTCCATTATTTTTCTCCAGTCTCAAACACACTAAAGCGGATCGATCTTCTTCCCAATGAATAACAGTACAGCCATGATGTAGTATGGCTAAATAATCTTCACAGCTAGTCAAGAAACTGTTAGAAGATACTTCATAAAGACTTCCTTCATAGCACATACTAGAAAAATATGTTTCATATTAATTATACACTTATATTTGAATTTTTCTTTATTCATATTATTTATACCCAATGTCTGAAATAAAACAATAAGTATTCGATGAGCTTTTTATTTAGGACGCAACTTGAGATGCGTGTTTAACAAAATGCTCAAAATCTGTGACTCAGCTCAAAATGTGTGCTTAAGCAAAAGGACTAAGCAAAAAAAAAAATAAATAAATAAAAAAAATACATTTTCTTTTTTTAATGTTCAACCCAAAGGCTGGGCCCATGTCGGAATGATCGCGGGTGGTTCGATCCCCAAAGGCCGAAGACTCCCTGTGTAGTAAATAGCGACTGAGGCATGTTAAATCTGTCGGGACATAAAGTCCTCCATGTTCCCATAACAAATCAATACCTCTGGGAGTACTGATCTAGGAGCTCCCTTGTCTTTCATATCGGGATCAAATTACAAAGATACGGAGTTGATTATTGGTAGTCGTAAACCAAGAATTGGGTCGACGGTTCAACGACGGTTTTACAATAAAACAAAAATATTCAACCCAGAGCCGCGATGGCTCAGGGGATAGAGAGTTCGTCTTCCAATGAAGTCAACTGGGTTCGAATCCCGGCAATGGCTAATCGATACGAATTCCACATCCAGCTTGTATCGACAACAGTTCTGACGTGAAATATCCTCAGCGGTAAGGGAATCACGGGTTTGAATCCCCCTGCCATCAGGCTAACCGTGAGAGGTTCTCGTGCTCTTCCTATCCATGACCCGCAAATGAGGGTTAGTTCCATCAAAAAGTCTTCCACGAAGGCAAATTTCTCCCTCTACTTGATCCAGGAGTTCCCTTGTCTTCTGGATTGTGTTCGAAATCACAAGGCTACGTAGTTGAATATTAGTAGTCGTAAGCCCAAGAATTGGGTCTGTTGTTCAACGACGGTTATAAAATAAAATAAAATTTTCAACCCAAATTTAGCAGCAAAACGTAAAAACTAACTGTAAAAACTGTGGTGTGCCATCTCTCTTATTTTGGCTCTGCTTGACACAAACAATTGTATGAAGAAACATTTTATTTCAAGGTAAAACCAAATTGAGTTCCCTTACCGTCAGGCTAACCGTCTGAGGTTTCTGTGGTTTTCCTCTCCATGTAACACAAAGGTGGGTTAGTCTCATGAAAAAAGTCTTCCTCAAAGGCAAATTTCTTCCGTTCCCTTGTCTTCTGGATTGGGTTCAAAATTACAAGGCTACAGAGTTGAACATTAGTTGTCGTTAACCCAAGAATTGGGTCGGCTGTTCAACGACGGTTATAAAATGAAAATAAAATGCCCGACCAAAATTTAACAACTAAACGAGGAATTTCGTGCTTACTTTTTTAAACATTAGGCATAATCATTACAGGGCAATGTTTAGGACTTCGGGGTCTATAATATTCCAGGCGTAACTATTTAGAGATCTTATCGTATTCAGTATAGTGAAAGCAGTTTGTAAAATTCTATTTAAACCACTATAAATTTATTGAACGCGTGACAACATTATAAAAAGTTTATTTTTAATATCTTTTCAGAAAAAATAACTTTATAAAAAATGTTCTAAATAATATAGGAGGCAAAGGAATCGCATGAATTACTAATTTATTTGGATCTGTCGGGTAGGTAACCTTGTCATACTGCGGTACAGCACCTATTGACAAAAATAAAAAGCGCTACCGAACAATAACTACTACTACTACTTACACTTTAGCCGGGGATTCCTTGTGATGAGCGATTTAACTGGGAGAAATAAAGAAGTAATTTTGCGCTTTCAAATCATGATATTACATTAAATATTGTGAACTGCCATTGAATGATTCTTAACAAAACAAAAAAAACTATATTCATAATGGAAGTTTGAAAAATAGAATCAATCAAATCTTATGACGAATGCCAGCAATCAAAAGTCCATTTCTTTAAATAGTTATGTCGTTTCTTAAAAAAAAAATGCTTTCCGAGTTTTTTCATTTCCTTGAACACGAATATTGGTCTCTGTTCATTTTCGTTAACACGCATTTCGAACTTCATCGATTTACTTCAACACGCATTTTGTAGAAGGCCCATTTTTGTAAACACGCATTTTTAGCTGCGTCAAAAAGGAAAAGCTCTCCGTAATACTGTTCTATTGGCAAATCAGCCCTGTTACCGTAAATCAAATTAATAAAAATAATGTATTAATTTTGTTGAATTCATATTTGAATCATCACTTTTATTCTAAAGTGCTAACAAAAACAGTATTCTCCAACTAAAAATCATGATAGAATAAAAATGCATTTTATTAAATGTAAAAAATATTTAAAATGTATATATTTACCAACGTATTTTCATAGTCTCAGTTGTTTCAGAATGTTTAGAATTCTTTTCCTCTGATTGGTATTTGTGAAAGGTATCGATTTTCTCTAACACATTGTGTATTTTTCTGATTTTATCCTTATTTATTAATCCTCCCACACCGATACGAGATGAAAAGTGATCTTCTCCTTGAAAATCTGATATGAACTGTAACGAAACATACATAATCAAAAATTGTACAGTAAGCAGTCATCCTGAATAATTATTGTTCTATAATCAGATTTTCATGAACTTAAAATCAATCTTAATAATTCAATGGGTTAACCTGAAATATTCTTAATTGAGCTACGGAATCAGATATAAAAATGCACATTCTCTGATTAAGTCTTTTTTTTCGATAGTCAATGTATGACGGTTGCCGTAATCTGGAAAATATGACTGCGCATGTTTACACACAGCAGTCAAATGTATGGTACTGTCAGTTGTTCCCTTTATAATGTTTGGTTATATCTCTAAAGCTAATTGCGCTATACAAAAAATTATTGCACTTGTGAATTTTGTTTACTTAGAGATAATTTCATAGAAATAATGATTTTTCTAATTGTTTCTTTAAATTTTTTAGTTCTAGTCAAAAAAAAGCTCTTAAATTCTAAGAGAAATTGTTAGACCATTTTAAACTATAATGAAACAAAAACATGAATTTGATGGAAATTGGTCGAAGCTTGATAAAAGAAAAATTTAAAATATGATTTCTTTTTTAATTTTCTCTTTAAATATCTAAAATGTGAAACTAAAATTAAGGGGCCTAAACTTTCTATAGCTCTTCTGACCAAAATATCAAGACTATAATTTCCAAATTGTAGTTACTCCCCATGTTTGGCAGTCAACACACCTGTATAATATACACGAGAATATAATTACCGTGTATACCTATAGAATTTAATTTTAGTTTAGTTTTAATTTTAATAACCTATATAATTTAAATTAATTCATAATAAAATTTTCTACTATTACTAAAGAAGAAAAAATTAATAATCTGTCTCTGCAAATAAAGTTTCGATTTTTCGATTTACAGAGAGAAAAAAATTATTAGTTTATACGCTTTTACCTACCAATGCAAACGTGATTTGAAATTGCATTCACATGATCAAAAATCATACGTCACTATTTCTATTTACGAGATCACGAATCGTGTTTCGTATTTTCACGATTTTATATCAAATATCGCGCTTCGTATTCACGTTATTTAAAACACTACTATTATGACAAGTGACGTAACAGTTTTACATCAGAATTCATGTCATTTTAAAATGAAACAACGAGATTCGTATTTACATGATTTTAAAATTAAATGTCGAAATTCGTATCCACATTATTTAAAAATTACACGTTGAGATTCACACAATTCAAATAAATAAATAAAATCTCGCTTTAATATTTTTATTAAAACGTTGATAACATTCTTCGGATTATAAATGTCTCCTACATTCACTTTTTCTTTCTTGCTTAAATTTCAGAGATTTTTTCAGTTATTTAAAAAAAGGTTTCTGCACATAATGTTTTTGAATTTCTATTTCCAGCTCTTTTGATTTTTCAGAACTGATCCCTATAGTATAAGCAATATAGGGTTCTATAAAAATCAAACATTTATAAAATAATCAGTGATTTTCAAACGAATTTTGCTAAAATGAGGTGGTGACAAAAGGATTGCCAAAAGTTAATCAATAAATTGCAGAAAGTTCGGTAATTTCATTTTATGTAACTCTGGTGGACAAAATCTACTAAAGCAAAGTTAAGTTTGTTTTGATTCTAGACACTTTTGTATCTTATTGAGTAACTTTATTAATATCAATTGTTAATTAATTTGCACAGTTGAAACTGGTATATATATATATATATATATATTGAATGATTTTTTGCTTTATTTTATAACCAAAGTTGAACAGCTGACCCAATTCTCAGTATACGACTATTAGTGATCAACTAAAAAGCCTTGTAATTTTTAACCTAACCCAGAAGTCAAGGGAACTGGATCAAATATTAAAACAAACTAGCCTTAGTGAAGGACTCAGTGGAACTAACCCGTATTTGCATTACATAGAGGGAAAATCCACGAAACCTCCCTAGGTTAGCCAAACGGCAAGGGGTGGATTCTAAACCAACACTGAGGATATTTTACGCTAGCACTGCATTCGGTGAGATCCGGGAGCAGAATTCGTATCAACCAGCCATCGTTGGAATTCGAACATTGTTCACCTCAGAGGGAGGTGAATGCTTTATCGCCTTAGTCACCATGGCTCTATTTGCAACATTAAAAATTGTCAAGCCTATTATCAGTTGCTCTCCATGTAGGATAACTACAAATTACTAATTTAAATCGTTAAAACATTTTGCTTACAGAAAAAATTAATTCAGAAAACATTTCATCTTACAATTAAAATTATTTGCCAAGTTAAGCAAAATCATGGTTTTTGTGACTACTCAGAAGTCTGTGCCAATTTTATGATAATTAAGAGTATTAAAAAAAGGACAGTTCCATTTAAATAGCATAGTTTTAAAACTTCATTTGATGTTAAACTGGTGTCGATGATACCATTATCAAAAGCAGCTGAAACAATCAACTGTAAAAACTGTGATGTGCCACCTCTTTTATTTTAATTCTGTTTGACGCAAGCAATTGTATGCAGCAGCACTTAATTTCAAGATAAAACCAAATTGAGTTTCCTTACCGTCAGGCTAAACGTGGGGATTTTCGTGGTTTTCCTCTTCATGTAACTCAAAAGTATGTTAGTTTCATCAAAAAAATCTTCCTCGAAGGTAAATTTCTCCCTATACTTGATCTAGTAATTCCCTTGTCTTCTGGATTGGGTTCAAAATGACAAGTCTACGGAGTTGAACATTAGCAGTCATAAATCCAAAGAAATTGGGACGGTTGTTTAGCGACGGTATTAAAAAATAAAGAATATTTATGGCAAATGTTGTTATTGTAAATTGGCATTAACTAGTTGTATGTCGATAGGTCAAAGGGCCCATAAAAAGTTTAATATTATATTAAGTTAATACTAAGTGAATAATCTTATAAAACTAATAATAAGTCGAAAAAAACGTTAAAATCCATTTTAAAAATAAACCCACAGAAGTGTCCGGGATCCAACTAAAATCACGAAGGCTAAAATTGCGTATAATCAACACAACCGTGAATTTTAAAGGAAGCAACCAATATTAAAAGTTTAAAAAACAGTAAAAAGGCTAGTGAAAGCTAAAGTCAGTAAATAAAATCAGCTAAGTTTAAAATAGTAAAGTAAAAGTAATATTCATGAGAAGAATAAATGAATTGCATAAGTATTTCAATAATTTATATTTAAATTATACTACACCCTTTAAAAACAGCTCAACACACAGCGTGTAAGTTTGATTCGGTATTAACTTGAAATAAAATACACTGGAGTAAGTAATAAAGAGAATTTGCAGACTTTTTCGTTTACATTTAGAACTACTGGGCAGAATTTAATGAAATTTGATGTGTACATACATTGATACAATACAAAACAAATAACCATTCAGCAATTTTAATTCACACTCATGATCGTGCGTAACACACGTTGGAGTTGGAAAGTTTGAAATTGTCACAAGAAATGATAAACTGCCCTATTTTAAATATGAAAACACGCTGCAAGACCAGTATATCTGTAAGAGGGAACCATACCCTATATTAAGCAATTTTGTTTGTGTCATAATGCTGGGTAAAAGTTAAAAAAAATGAACTATCTTAAAAATGATAAACTTAATTTAACCAGTTACGTATATAAGACAAACAGTTGCGCTACAATGATCCCAAAAAATCATCACAATCTAAAAAAAAAGGAATGAAAATATAATACCTAGAGTCTAGGATAGCAACATTTTTGATGATGTCAGAAAATTCATTTATTGGTGTCCTAAAAGCATCATATGAAGCACAACACAAAAGTCACGGTGGTTGAGTGATGATCGGGAATCTCTAGCATGCACTGCTAAAGCATTCCGTATTTGAATGGACTATACGACGCTTGAAAAAAACCATACCTCCGGAAAATCATTTTGGTTCAGGATTTCAGAGAAAAAAAACAAAGCTACCCAGGAAGCTTAGCTGGATCATTTCGATGAGAGACCGTCTACGAGACCTTCCACAAAGCCATTCAGAAACAATGGCTTCCCTCAGAATAATGGTGGGATTGATGTTTGGTAAAAATGGTCTACGTGACACTATGCAGTCGCATCAGAAATTGTATTCATTAGCATAATGGTGAGAATGATGTCGAGAAATCATTTTAGGTTCAAAAAAATTAAAAAAAACGGTGATCTGCATCATTTCTTTCAACACCCAAGAGGGGGGAACACGGAGCCGAAGCTATACAAGAATCGAATGTCACGAATTGAGAAAAGTGGTGTCTTTTTACGGGAAAATGCTAAAGATGAGTTGCAGTTAATGAAAATTAGAAGTTGCGGTTAGGACAGGAGTAGAAAGGTAAAGTAAAAGTTTTTAAAAATTAAAGTAGTTACGGTTATGAAATAAGAAAAAGTGTAGAAGTAAATGGTCCCGCGTGGAAACTACAAAGAAAGCCGACTACCAGCGATTCTAGGAATTGAAGGGGAGAGAACATTCCAAAGCACTTCAAAAGGGAAAGCGCAAAAATACAAAACTGATTGCAGGTACTATATATATTTCCGATCTAAAAATTATTGAATTGTTAACACAATGAAATTGAAAAACACAATGTCACAGTTTGTTCATCCTTCAACCGCTGTCTCACAACTTCCGACTCCAACGACTGTTAAGCGCGATCAAGCGTGTGTACTACAATTGTTGAATGGTTATTTGTTTTGTAGTGTATCGATGTATGTGCATATCAAATTTCATTAAAATCGGTTCTGTAGTTCTAGAGATAATCGACCAAGTCAGCAAATTCTCTTAATTTCTTAAACCAGTGTATTCATTCACACAATTTTTTGAGTTTTATACACCAAATTCGAATAGGTATTATACCAAAGTGTGTAAAAAACAAAAGATATTTTACTTACTGATAATTTTCCTGGTTCACTAGGAGAAAAGACAATTAAGCTTGGTGTGCTTTTAAGGATATTCCTCAAATCCTGTAGAAATGCTCCAAAGAAAGGTATGATTCTGCCAGCAGAAGATGCTTTTTGTAAAGCTGATTCATATTCATCAGATATTTGGTGCTGAAGAAAAATATTACTTAATTTTTCCAAGCACTTGATGTTTTCTTTCTCGGGTAGGGAAAGCCAAAATGGTTTGAGTTTTTCGGATCTGTGGAAAGAAAAATATGCTTTTTGTATTACCAATTATGCAAACGCAAATCAAATTTTCATGTATGAGAATTATGTACCAACTTTAGACCAGCTAAAATTTCCACCGCTGAATTAAAATTATTCATATTCCAACAAGTAGCCGCGACTCTCAGAATACAAGACAAGATAGCTTTTCTATCACTATGAGTTGGTTGGGAAACAATCATGTGCGTTATCCAAGAGCTCACCTGCAATTCAAATAATTTTTTTTTATTCTCTTTGATTAACAAAAATTAGGTTAGGAAACAATCATGTTCAAGAGCTCATCAAGATCATGTTCAAGATCATGTTCATCAACATTGTTCAAGATCATATATTCAAGAGCTCATCTTCAAATTAAATAATATCCTTTAGATAAAAAAAAATCTTTTAATAAAACAGTTTATTGCATTTAAATAAACCCTGAAGAAAAATTTGGTTTGGACACAATCTGTGCTATCCAAAAACTCATCTTCAATTAAAATAGTACTCTTCGGAAAAAATATTCTAACGAAAAGGTTTATTCCACTTAACTATACCCTGAATAATTATCCAGAAAGGAGGAAACATTGGGTTAGGAAACAATCATGTGTAATTTAAGAGTTCATCTTTAATTAAAATAATACTCTTCAGATTAAAGAAAAAAGTGGACTTCCGCCACGGAAGATCGAGTCCCAATATTTCACTATAATAGTTCAATCCCTTAAACACTCAGCAATACCGGTGATAGTCTTAAATTCATCGAATTGAAATAATAATTTTGCTCTGCGTAATATTTTTTCTTATAAAAATGCATTTTTGCTACTTGGAGTGACAAAAGAAGTGATGATATAATTCCAGCTATTATGACACATATTAATAAAAATTACAAGAAGATTCTAGCACGCTTTAAATGATGAGTTTGGGTGAAAGATTAGATAATGATTTGGAGACTTCTAAGATAACTTATTATCATTTTCATATCGAAGAGCTAGGATATTTTAAGTAATTTTTCAAGTTCATGGATCTATCATAGCATAAACTTACTAACACCAATAACAGATTAAGCTAAACAGATGGACTACTTAAGCTCATAGCCTAATCTTTAATCCACTGAAAAATGTTTTGGGTATTTTTATTCATCGAGTGCTTATACATGATTCTCATTACCAATCCCGAAACTTCTGGCAGAAAGAAAACTAATGCCACAGCGCAAGTTAGAATTAGGATCATTCAATTTCAATCATAGTTAACCTTAATTAGAACTACAATAAATAAAATTATCGAATTTGAGGCTGAAGCTAATTTTTGACATTTTTTACACTTTTATTATTTTTGTCATAAAATCTGCTTAATTGAAATCAAATATTGTTAGACTTAGTACATGGCAATATAGTTTAAAATTCTAAAGGCGAAAATAATTATAAAAGTATTTCATTTATTTATTTTTAACTATAAAAGAAATTAGATGATGTTATAATTTTGTAGCACACTTTAGAGAAATAAGTAAGAATGTAATCGATTCGAGAACTAACGGAGTTCAAAATTAAAAGTCTCAGACATTAAGGATGATGAAAGATTTTTATTTTATAACCGTCGCTGAAGAGTCGACCCAATTTTTGGGTTTACGACTACTATTGTTCAACTCCGTAGCCTAGTCATTTTGAACCCAATCCGGAAGACAAGGGAACTCCAGGATCAAGTATTGGGAAAAAATTTGTCTACAGTGGAGGACTATTTCATGGAACTAACCAACATTTTCGTTACATGGAGAGGAAAACTACGAGAACCTCCTACGGTTAGCCTGGTGGTAAGGGGATTCTAACCCATGAACCGTCAACCACTGAGGATATTTTACCTCAGCGCTGTGGTCGGTGCGAGTCGGGTGCGGAATTAGTATCAACCATGCATCGCTGTGATTCGAACGCGGTTCACCTCTTTGGAAGGTGAACGCTCTGTCCCCTGAGTCACCATGGATCCATGCACATGATATTGATATTATGTAGCATCGAACATATCAAATTATTTATGATTTGTAGATTTATTAAATAAAATATTTAAATTATATTCGTTAAAGCTTTCGTTGCTTCAAATCCATCATCTAAACCACCAATCCACTGTAAAATCGACAATTATACCTCAAGTAAGGATGGGTTTTTTTTCTACCAAGAGATATAAAACTTTATACATGTTAATATGATCAAAATGAACGATTTTAAGGGTCAGCCGAAAAAATTTCGTCAAGGTAAGTAGACAAGGGAACTCCTGGATCAAGTATTGGGAAGAATTTGTCTTCGTGGAGGACTTTTTGATGGAATTAACCCATATTTGCGTTGCATGGTGAGGAAAACAACGAAAACCTCCCACGATTAGCCTGATGGCAAGATTCTAACCTATGATCAGTCTACCACCGTTTAAAATTATGTTATATGATGCGAATTATCATGAATAAGCAAAAAAGTAACATTATATACAGGAACCAAACAAATGAGTCAACCATACCTCTTGGAATCTTTTGACTAGTTGCTGAACAGCATTTTCAGATGATGAATTTAAACATAGAGGAAGAGTCAACTGATGAACATAATGAAAAGGAGGAACACTGTAAAACATATCAGATTCCACTTGACCCATTTGTAAAGCTACCATTTCAGGAAAATGAAGAATTTTTTGAAGGGAATCTAATTCTTCTTTATGTACAATATAGGAATCAGTTTGAGGTTTCAACAGAACCGACCTGCGGATTTCTAGAAATAAATACAATATAATTTCAGGAATCTTAATGCTTGAACTGTCGAAACATATGAAATGATTAATTAGTCAAAAAAAAAGATTCCCAAAGCATGATAATTGTGTAGTGAAAACAGCTAAAAAATTGACAAAACCCAGTTTTCCGGAGAAAAAAAAGTTCCAACCTTCTTCATAGTATGTGTTAAATACCGGGTAACAATTATTGAGCTATATGAAATAAGATCATCATAACTTCTGAACGGTTAACGTTGAAGCTTCGTGATTAGCCGCAGGGCATGATGGGAATCAATATGCGCACGCAACTCGATGTTGTCAGACATTTGCAAGTGAAAATGTTATGGTACAGCGTGCCTGAGCGTATATCACTTTTGAAGGCCTACTGTGTGAACAATAACAGCCGGATTACGCCTCAAAGTAAGTTAGCGATCGAGTACAAGCCAAAGACAACCGGTCAAAGTTTGCTAACATTCAAGAATTTGATTCGCAAGTTTGAGAAAACTGGTAAAGTTTGTGATGACAGCTGAAAATATCGAGAGGTTGTACAACTTACTACGAGGAGAGTACTTAAAAATATGTTGCAAAATTGACCCTTTTTGCTTTCGGGTTTTGCCAATTTGCAGTTATGTTTACAAGCACGGTCTAAGTAACATACATTTAACCTCTTCTTCGAGACGGGAGAGTCATAAATGCATAAGGAGCCGAATCTGATTCAGGAAGGAAAAAATATAAACTGTCGTTTAAATGCGGATGTGGCTAATTTGATAGACTTATTTTTGCTTTCACTTTGATTCTAACATATCTTATTCAAGATAGTTCAAAGTGTAACCATATAATATTTTATTTTGAACAAAGTAGTGGCGAACAAAATAAGCCAAACTATTATTACCCCATCCATAAATTAACTTCCAACGAAATAGTTTGTCTATCTGTTTCATATTTTTTACTCAAATTATGAGCCACCCTGAGAATGCATTTAAGACTCGCCCGTCCCGAAGACTTTCGTCAGATCTAAAATTAATTTCTATGACTTTTATTAGACCAAAAGCTTTCATTGTCATCTTAAACATTTTGAAGTTTATAAATCATCAAGTAAAACAGCTTACTTATTTAATTACACACCAAAGTCGGAAAAATAATTCGGAACCGTAACTATTATTAATTGTTTAAAAATATGCATATGAAATGATTTAGATAATTAAACCTGTATCAATATCGCATCTAGATAATAGGATATGGTCTTGAACAAAACGAGTATCTACATCATGCATGACTTCCCACAATTCTCTGCTAATAGACTGAAGGGTACTAGTTGAGGCAGCTGAGAAAGACCATTTGGTTGCTCGGAATTCCAGGAGAATTTGGTCATGTGATCGACCACCACCAATTCGCCATTGTTCCAAATCTCTAGACAATTGACTTTTACTGAGAAGAAGACTTTTACTGTCCAGAAGTACAAACTTTTCCACGCCAATACCTAAAAGCCGATTAACCTGAAAATCAAAATAACCAATTATTCATATAACTTTAAATATGTTGGCCTGTAATCAAACTCACTTTGAAGATTTCAAGAATAAATTTTAAAATAAAAAAACACAACACTGCATAATGTTTTAAGCAAAATTAACTTAGCATATATATATATATATA